TAGCCACAATAAATTAAAGCCCAGGGAGTCAATCCAGTCATTAAATATCCACAGTCAATACCTGTTACGAACAGGTTCAGACCAGCATCAGGATGACACTCATTAGTCTCTGCACAATGCCCCTGCCTAGCAGGTGGGGGTACCATGCTGATGCTCTGCCTATTATTTGTCCCTGGGCTTGTGAAATGTGCTGCTGTGGGTGATCAGAAAGGATTGTGTGGCAGTCCCATATTAATAGATATTGGGGAGGAGGGATGATCTTGTGTTTGAGATGTGGGACTCAGAGGTTCTGGGTTCTCATCCTGCCTTTGCCTGCCACAGATTAACTGTGTGCTCTTGGAAAATTACATAGTCTCACTAGGCTTGAGTTCCTCCCTCTTCACAATGGAGATAACACCTCTTGCCTACCTCACAAAGGAGCCCTTTGGGGCAAAGACCATCTTTTTTTTCTGTGTTTGAATAGTGCCTAGCACAATGGGTCCTGGTCCATGACTAAGGTTGCTGGGCAAGAGCACAGAACAAATAATAAGGTTGTCAGGGTTAAGTCATTACTGGCCGTACAGACTTTCTGGGGAAGTGGGGAACTCAAGAGGGTTTCCAGAAAAAAGCTGAGGATTATGGGTGACTAACATTTGAAGGGGGCTTGGGGCTGGGTTTGGAAGAGACAGACTTCCATTGGGGGGGATTTTCAAATCAAAACAAGGAAACAAATTAAATGTAAAAGGTTTTTTTACATGTAAAAATAAATGCTTAAAAGGGAAACAGGTGAGGGTTGTTATGAACAATAAAGAACTAAGCAAAAGCTTCTATGCCATTTTAAAGGACCTAGGCCAAAATAAATGGAACTTGATGATCTTTTTTCTTCTCTCTGAACGTTTGTTGTGTTTCATCTTCCCAACTTTCCTCAGAGCAGGAAAGAGCCCATCCATTTTCTCTCCTCTTCCCCCAGTCCACAAAAGTACTCAGACACCTATATCCCAGACTTAGGCACTAAATTCCTGGTTTAGGCACCTAAGTCCCAATTGTGGCTCCCCTGCAATCCACAGAACTCCCGCCGAACCTTGTAGGCACCTAAACTCACTTGGCGCCTAACCTTTTCAGGGGAAATGTTCCCTTGGCTTCTACAGAGGTGCTAGAACAAGGGGTGCTGGAGGTGCTGCTGCACCCCCTGGCTTGAAGTAGTAATAACAACCCAAATACATGGTTTCGACTTCAGCACCCCCACTATAAAAATTGTTCCAGCACTACTGGGCGTCGACATTTCTCCCTCTGACCATACACCCTGCTGCCTCCCTCTAGGCGTTCAGCTACCCCACTTCCACCTAAGTCCCAGAGCAATCCACAAGGTGTTGGGCTATTAGGAAGACGATCCTGTCCTGATAGTGCCCATCACCACCAGATAAAGAAACAGATCTTAAGATAGTTAAAGAAAACTTAGTTTGACAGCATCCTGTCTAGCAAGAAATCACGTATTAGTGTTTGTGAAACCCTCATTTCTGTATTGTTTTATCTTTATGGCCCCCGCTTTTCTATTGTTAATCTGTCGGGTTCTCCTTAGCCTACAATCAAGGCCTCAGACTAGCCTAGTGAGACAAGGCCCATACACAGGGGGACTGTGATTTTGATTCTTTGTTTTTATACCCCTGTAACTAGCTAAGTGATAAAATACACCTGCATTCTTAAAGTATAGGCCTTTACAAGCAGGCCTGAATATCTATATTCTAACAGTTATCTGCAACCTTACCTCATGTGGAATGGCAACGACCTCCAATCTGTAGCTGGGTCCAGCAAAGGCTGCCTGCTCCCTGGACTAGCTACTGTCAGGCATTTAGCGAACCCAGCTGTGGATAGTTTAAAGGAACAATACAACTACCCAAAAGAACTGAGGGAATGTGGGTAATCCTGCTGCTTTATAAAAGACTTGAAAGCAGTATTCCCTAGCTCATTTCTGCCAGGAGTTCCAAAGACTCTGCGTAGTCTCATCTGGCTCAGAGTATCTTAGGGTCTAAATGGATCTGGTCTGAACTGCATGGAGAGCAGAATATATGTGGCTCAAGGCTTGCGTTTGTACTCTGCTGATGCCAGAGTGGCCTCTGGACCTGTGTGCCAAATGGGGGCCACTTTAACTTATAGTGACTGTAAATAAGTGATCAAAACCACAGGTCAGGATCAGCGTAACTCAGTGTTGTCTTGGCCGTGCCTGCTTCCCCTGTCCTCTGGCAGCCAAGGGCATGGCAAAGAAGCCCTCCCTTGACTCTGAAGCAGTGGAGGCTCAGTGCTCCAGTGGGGTGAGTCATGGTCACTGGGTAAGATGGCTGTAGGGCCAAGTTCTGTCTGTGATGTAAAAGGGTCTGCACTGAACTGGAGGGCCTGGCCTGCAGATCTGAGCTGGGAAGCTGTTCCCCATGGGGTTTGCACGCCTTGCTCCAGCTCGTTTGTTTACAAGGGTGCCCTCTTCCTCTCCAGGTACGTGGGCTGTTCCAACCACACATAACATGCAGGGAAATAGCCTGACAGTGATACTGTGGGTGCCGTGTTCAGTTCCCACCCCTTTTTGAGTAACAAATCCCTGAAAAGAAATCAAACGTGTACATGGAGGCCCAGATCGCCAGGTAGCATCCAGTCCCCCTGAGCCTTGTTGCTGCAAAGCTGCTTCCTTCAGGGCACCCCTCTGCCACAACGCCTCCAGAGCAATAACTGACTGCTGCTTATGACACTTCCTGTAAGAGTCTCCCTGTTCCCTTGTGCTGACCCCATCTGTCTGGGGTAGCCACTTGTTATCTCTCATCACATACGTAGATTGTAGCTCTTTGGGGCAGTGACCATTTTTTTGTTCTGTTTGTACAGCACCTAGCAAAATGGGGTCCTGGGACACTGCCACAGTAGGAATAATAAACAGTGGTAAACAGGGAGTCCAAGCCCATGAATTTTCCCTCTAAGGGACTCCTCGGATGACATTAAAACTGTCACAGAGACTTCCAGACCATCACCTAATGTAGCCTCTGGGGGTGGGATGGGCATGGCACCTCTACACCATGTGATCCCAGCTAGGAGCTACTCCAGGAGCTGGATGCCCTAGGATTGGGTAGGATACAAAATAGCATAGCACCACTCTATGGGAAGGAGAAGAGAGAGAATACATGGCTTGCTGGATTTATCATGCCCAGATCTAAGGCTCAGTCTTGCAAAGTACTGAGGCCCAGGTATTTTAGTGCCTAACTGCCACTGAAATGGCAGAAATCAATAGGAGTTAGGCACCTAAATACTTCTGAGTCTTTGGACTTGAGTGCCCCCAACTCCCATTCAAGTCAGGGCATAAGATTCAGGTTCAGTCAAGTAAACCAAAATTTCACAATTAATGCTTTAAACAGCAATATCAGAATGACACATCAGCTCCGGGGAGCAATTCTTGACTTGCCAACATGTTCATAAACCTGGCCAAGGGAAGTGGCTGGAATAAGCTTCACTTCTTGGATGACCTTTTTAAGCCCCAGGGCAGAGGGCTGAGGGGGAAAAAAACTTGTGCTTTATTGTCTCCAATTCCCTGGCTAGCTCCACCTCACTGCCTCTACACACAGCTCCTGCAAACCTAGTGAAGTCCACCACCCAGCTACAGGAACCTAAATACCTTTGAGGATTTCGGCCTACAAGACTGTGCTTTCCCTCCTTATGACCTTAAGAGATTATCTTTGATAACTGGACCTCTGTCAGGTCATAAAATTTTTGACCAGATGTAGCAGTTCTTTCCAAACATTTTCAATTAAACAGCATTTTTTGTGGAAAAAATTCCATTTTCATCTAAATTATTTTGGTTTTGAGCAACCCCAAAATGTTCAGGTTTTGGTTGCAGATTGTTTTGGTTGGTTTCTTTGAGGGAGAAGGGGGTAAATGAAAATCCCAAAAATTTTGAAGAAACATTTTGCCAAAACAAAAAGGTTTTCCATTTTCATCATTTTGGATGGCAGGTGGGTGAGGAAGAGCAGAGGGACAGAAACCCATTTCCTAACCAGTTCTAATAGCTGCATATGTTGTCTGGGGCCCTTCTTCACTATCTAAATGGAAATAGTCGGTGGAACTCAAGTTGATTTGAAAATACCTTCCAAGATGAATTTAAATAAGTAATTTCCATGAAGAAATGACAGAGCATTTCTCAAAAACCTTAGATGAGGATCTGCATCCAGGAATCAGATCAATTTAGGCAAACGCTTGTATCTGCAGTGACCCTGTTAACCTCCAGATGGTTCCAGCACAGATGTGAGAGTCTATCATGTAGTTCAGACTGTAGGATTGAGACCTACATTTTTTGTTTTGTTTTTTAAATTAGAGTGTGTTAAACTTGAAGGTGTTAAAACCATCTGTTTGGGATTGTGATGGGGCGCACTTGCCCCACACTGGTACTGCGAGGGTTAATTCTACTCTCTGGGCCAAGGAGGCCACACCCATGCGGCTCTGCTGGCCATGCTCTGGCTGGAGACTGGATACAAAAGGGAGCAGCTGACTGAGGAGCCAAGAGACACTGGGGATTCCGGAGATGCTGCATCAGGAACAGGGTAGGAAGTAGTTCAGGGGGACTAGGTAATTGTGCCATGTGGGGTCAGCGTGTTTCAGGCGGATACCCCACCAACCCAGTGGTGGGCATACTTGCCACTGGCAGGTCCCTGAGCTGGGATATGGTAGAGCAGGGAGAACCAGGGTCCCCCTACCCAGCTGCCACCCTTTCTTCCGGTGGTGGTCCACTCCCCTGTCTAGCTGCTGAGCCACACAGCCCCAGCTGAACGGGGCAGCCCTGTTGCCTTTTACCCCTATGTCAAGCTATCCCAAGACAAGGGATGGTTGTATAGACTCAGCCACGGAGCCATCATTATCTCCACCCCTTCCCACGAAGGGAAGGGGTGCACTTGCCCCACGACAGGGATGATAAATAAGTTTGTGTGGCATCAAATAATCAACATATAAATTGATCACTGTGTACTTGGAATTTTTCGATGAAAGCTTATATGTTTCAATAGAAATAGATTTTTTATTAATAACATGCACACATATATATTTAAAATACATGTACACTTTTTCTACCATTCACTTTAGAAAACAATCTCTTAAACCAGGTCCCAAGTAATTTTAAACATTAAAAACAACATTTTTCCATGATTATACAACAAATATGTATTACTCCAACTAAGTGGTATAGAATCACAATCTAATATTATAATGCAGGTTCATGCTTTTCAGTAGAAAGAGATGTCTCCTTTTGATGCTTTATTAATATCAAATATATTTGACAATGCCTGCACAAGCTATTATATGCCAGGGTGATTCCCTGATGCAAAAACATTGTATATAAAGGATTTAAATGAAAGAGAGGATTCTGTTTTGCAGCTCTGTCACTGAATTTATCTGAAGAGCATCTTGTGTATAACCTGCAGCTGTGGGTAAAATAGAACCCAAGGAGTATGACAAGAACTGGGAAAATATCACTGAATGAATCATGAAAGAGAAATCATTGAATAAAGAGGAAAAAGTAAAGCCTTGGTTTATATTGGTTAGAGTCTGAAATCCTGCTATTAGGTTTCTTTTTAGAGTGATGGCTTTTTAATGTACTCCCAAGTATCAGCCTGGATCTTTGGAGAATACACAAAATTATCATCAGCTATATTGTGGTTTAGTTTTCACAGAAGGCTCCTATGATGAGGGGACTTTAAGGCACAATATTCGATATACTCAACTGAACGCATTCACTAAAAACAAAACTTCTACTGACGATGCCTGATATACATATTCAAGAACTCAAGCGGTAGCTCAGTAATCACATCCATTGAAAATTAGGCAATTTGGGAGTGGCTCCACTGTATACATCAGGCCAGATCCTGCAAGTACTTACGCACATGCTTAACTTTAAGCATGAGTATCCCATTGACATCAATGAGACTACACATACATTGTAAAAGCTTACAGAATCCATTGTATTTCCAATGCATGTGACTTACAGGAGTATGTAAGTCCTCTATCATGTAACTGCAAGACACTATGCCTTTGGCAAATGATAATTATGAGCTTGATCCTGTAAATGCTTATGGCCACATGTAGTTGCACTGCAGGCAATGAGATGACTCAGAGCAATAAGCATGATGCCTGCTAATAAATGTTTTCAAGATCAGGCCTGACACTTGAAGCCAACCAGGAAAAGTGGTACAAAGAAAACATAATAATTTACATGTTTATACTAAACAGTCAAGTGAGTTTCTGAGTAAATACATGCAACACTGCACTAAACGTTAATTTTTCTTAAGCCAGTCATTTGCAAAATTACCAAATGTTGCTACCAAATCTTTCCCTGTCCGACATATCCTTTATATTGTCTCTAAGGTGTCATACATTATTTTTAGAATATATTCCAAGACGACTGGTTTTGAGAGGAAGGAAAAAAACTTTCTTTACACCCAGTACAAATATGATCTGTGTGTGGGCATAGTACAGTTGTAAAATCATATACATTTCTTTACACTGAAGTCTGACTCTGGGCTACCTATAGATGGGATCACCTAGGAAAGTTCAGAAAAACGTGTTGCAGAAGTCAAACTAAACCCTGAATGGCTTTATCAATAAAACATCTCTTTATGTATCTGGATTACAGTACTAAATGGTGGCTTGGTAACAGAGTATTCAAATATCACTAGATAATTTAATAACTTCCATAGTCAAGTTGTAGGGTCTGATTCTCCTCTTCAGTGTGCCTGTGCAGTCATTTGCAGCTGTGTATGGTGTGAGCAAAGCTCTGCAATAAACAGCTAAATGACATGAAGTGCAAGTAGGGGGGTAGTTGAGAATGTTCACAATTCTGAAGTTTTTGATTAATTTTTTTCCTCAAGAATTTAACCAAGAAAGGAGTGGGTGGGAAAATTTCACAAAAATTTCATCCAGTTTCTGCTTGGAATATTTTAATTACATTTTGCTTAAACTTTTTTGGCCCAAAAAGAGAGGAACAAAACTTTGGTGAAAATGTTATCCCATTTTTCAGCCGTCTCTGGAAGAACCAAACCCTTGATCTTCTGAAACGCCAAGGAATTAGTTACCTGAGACCCGTTCAGGATGTTTGTTTTTTCCTTGATATCTTTTAAAGGTGCATTAAGCTGCAACCCATCATGCAGCATCATATAAAATAAGCTTTTAACAGGCCAGAAAGCAGTTACTTATTTCCCCAGACAAAGTCATTTTTTCAAAGATGACTTCAGCAAGTATTGTAGTTCTAGCAAAGGTTAAAGGCTAACTCCAGCTCAATTTTTTTCCCTTCCTTTCTTGCAAAATAGTAGAAGTAACGTTATAAATTATTTGTGAAGTATAATTTAATGTAATGAGCCTTGCCTTTTAGCCCAGAATTATAGTGTGCATATACTGTCAGTCAGTGAGAAAGGGTTATTTAGCATTTCATAAAATAAGCTGATCATTTCGAATGCTGCAGAAAAACTAACACAAAGAAAAAAGTGCATGAATCTGTTCACTTTCGAGCAGAAAATTACATATTTTTAAAACCAGAAGGCAGAAATAATTTCCCAGAGACACCTATTAGTCCTCTAATATCCCTTTCCCCACCTGTCCCTGCGCACACAGTAGGCAATGTACCATCAGAGATAAGAGAGCTCTCTGAGGGATGATGGCTCCTCTAACAGCACTGATCATATCATTCTCTCACATATCATACAGTAAACTCATTTCACTACCGGTTTATAGTAGTACACTTATTACACATACTAGATAATTGGAGCCTTTCTCCAGACTAGCCTGGCCTTCTTTCAGTTTTCCTTGTTGAGATAGGTAGCGTATATTAGTAGCTTTTAACTGATGTTTTTTTCAAAATACTTCAGTTTGCAAAATGCAAGCTAATGTTTGAAAGTTTGGGCCAGTTTTTCTGCAGGCATTACTCCAGTGGGCCAACAAGAGGCCATTGATTTACACCAGCGGAGCTATGTTGAATCACACCAGCGGAGGATCTGGTCTTCAGACAATTTGACCCCTTTACCTCCAAGGTAAGTATGGACATTTTGCCTCTAAGAAAAATGAAAGTGGCCTCTCAGAACCTAACCATTCACAATTACTAATTTCACTTAAGAAACGGCATTGCCCCATTTTCCAGCTTTCCCATTTCTGTGCTGTCCGTAGGCTATTTAATAGTAAGAGCATTTCATACAGTTGTAGATTCTGAAATTTGGGAGTAATAGTTGTGTTGAATTTAGGTCTGAACATTTTTACTACAAATTCTCTTCTTTCCTGGATTTTTAGTTCTCTCTCTTCCTGTCTCTGAAACCCGCATTGGCTTCTAACTATGAATATCATCCTTGACTCACTTGACTTTGCTCCTCATACTTCCTGCCCTTGTCTTTTATTTATTGTACGGTTAATACATGTCTGACAGCAGCAATTGTGTGTGCAATATACAAGAGCAAGGCATTTTAAGTAGGGTTACCGGTGGAATCTTTGTTCTATACTAAGCACATCCATGTAAGGCCATTTTTATTTGTTCATACTGTATAACGCTTGAGAAATAGCATCAGTCAAATCTACATGAGAAAATCGGTTACTTGAATACATGTCTGCCTCCATTGTTACAATATACTATTATTTCACTTAGCATTACCTTTAAAGCTCCAGTGGCTAAAACCTGCAATGCAAAGCTGATTCCTTCACTATAAACTTATAGTCTATAGGACTCCCATTGACTTCCATAAGCTTTGGATCAGGCATATTTGTTCAGCAATTCTGTGTCGCAAGTCATCATTAAGTGAACAACAAATATATTGGTAACTATGTAGTTTACTGGCTTGTTCATAATGTTCTCCCAAGTTACAGTGCAATCCCTGCTTTTGACCCCATTTATTTTAATGTCATTCTCTCCCTAATGCTACTCTTTGGTATTTTCAGAACATAGCTCTGGCAGCTATGACTTTCCCATTCTCGTGGTCAGATTGCGCAATGTGTCTCATAGGACATGCTTGATATATATTCTAAAGGAAATTCCAAAAATTGACATTAGACATCTAACTCCACCTCAAACACTGTCACTAATGCAGATTAAACTCATCTCAAATGAAAGTCCTCTGAGGTTTTACTCCAGTGTGTCTAATATATTCCCTTTCTGGAATGTGGGTTTTTGTTTTATTTTGTTTTCAAATCACAAAAAAGTGCCCACCTAAGCTCTAACACTGATCGTGCGTTGTACCACATGGTCGAATAGTAAATAGCGCACTCACACACACAAACCTCAGAATTCCAGCCAGGCAACCTGGAGGGGATTCAAATCATGTTTAGAAAACACTGACAACTGGCTGAGAAAATAGACTTTCATCTGAGTCATCCCGTTTTGTCGCAAAATGTTGTCAACAGAAAGATAAGTAAGAAGTGAGAGCAATTTAGTGGCTCAATTAAAAACACCCTCACTACAGTGCTGACTGATCTCAGTGTAGAATTTCTTGTGAGTACCAGATGAGTTATTTTGCTTTTTTGAAAATCCTAACCAAAGAGACATTTCTTTTGGCACTGATTCCTTCACATTCAAAGCATTTCTCAAAGAAAACTTGCTTTCTAAACCTTACAGAAAATAACTCCCACCCCTGAATCTTCATTGTCAGAATAATCTGTCACTTTTGGTTTTTACCTCTCACCTGGTATGGCATAATTTAAATACAAAGTAGATAAAATGTTTATATCTACACTGGCAACTTAATGTCGCTTAGTTTCTACAAAATACATTGCACGCAAGCTCTCTGCTTATAAAACCCTTTGCATACCAATGACTGCAGAGTATTAATCAAAGTACCCTCCATTCATCTCTGTTTGTATCCCGTCTTTCATCACAAGTGTGTTTACAATTAGTGTCTCATCTTCGCATGTTAATAAGCAGTTCAAGCATTCAGAAACAAAACATCAGTGGATCTAACAGCTACTTCAATTCATTTTATAAATAAGCAACTGAGAATTTTGCTCCAAGTGGCTGCTTGTATAGCCCATTCCATAAATGGAATTCTCTGTAGAATAAGGCACAATATGATACGAATGCAGCTCTTCATAATAGAGTGACTGAGAACAGCATTCTTGTACCATAAACTTCAGCCGTTTTCTTGTATCCGAGTAAGCGGTCCTATAACAGGGTGCCTCCTTAAAGTATTCATAGCTCTCTTTGTCTGTCTCTAGGTGGATCTTCCTCAGCAAATTGTTAATAAGCACAGACCTGCGGAGATAGGTTTCAGGGTCTTCAAGGAATCGAAGTTTCTGCAGAGACAGTTTTAGAATACAAGTCCGGTCCTCAGGTAATATCAGGTGCTGAGAAGTAAAAACAACCAATATAGTTTTAGGATCAAGGAATAAGAACAAGAGCTTTTCCCCTTTGGAATATTTATTAGAAACATACTCACTTTTGGAAAATACCCCTGGTAATCTTGATGTAAATCTTCTTCTTCTGCATATTTTCTCTTAAAGTAGGCTACTTTCGACGTCGTTAGCGTATTTGTCAATACCCTGATTGGATCAGCTGTGCAACAAAAAATAGAGTATCAGCAATGATTGTGGCAAATTGATGTCCTCTGTAATGTTAGTCTGGCATGTGCAAAACGATGTGTCTATAAGCCGCGGCTGCTTGGTTTCTGAGACTAACAGGAGTTTTGTTTACAGATCATTAGCTCTATCATCTTTTTTTTTTTTCAAGCACACACAGGTGGTGCTAGACACGTTGCAGAACTAAGAGAAAGGCAAGTCTCCTGCCACAAAAACTTACATTACCTTGATATGTGACTCAGGTGAAATTAATGAGCCATTGGAAGGGTGGGAGGCTAGCAGTGGTTACAGAAATATGATCAACCAATGGAATAGTAGTACAAATGGATGGTTTCATCTGTTGAGTTCAGATGTTCTAGTACCCGTGATGCACTTAACCTAGGAAGGGCATTCAGCACCATTGAACAAGGATGTGAATTTACATCCCGTGTAAAGATTTGATGGCGTCTCACCCACAGTAATGTATATGGGTGAGATGCAATAACAGTTGTTTCTTCACTCTTCCATAGAGCAGCTTTATGGTTCAGCATTGTTTACTCATCATACAAGAGAGACCATGTTACCCCCACGTCCCACAGTGAAGCACTGAAGGGGTGGTTTCATTGGAGCGTAATTACCATTCTACACACTAGGTGATGCTGTGGTCACAGCAAAGTGAATGAGCTCTTGAAAGTAAAATCTTAGTTGGATTTCAGCGTGGTGTGGAGTGGTCACACTTAGTTGTGTTTTATTGCTTATAAGTCAATCTCCATAGTTCTGACTGTATGACTCAGATAGGCACTGAACAGAAAGAATACTCCATTTGATTCCACAACAAAACTTACAGAGGAGGGAAGAGGTGAACCCAGACCACAGAGGTTGAGGTGGGGACATTGGATGAAGGCTTTTGTTTCAGCCCACTACGGAGAGAAGGGCCACATGCAGGAGCAGATCTGGCTCTGACCATCTGCTGCTGGGCCCTGGGGGTTTTGTTGTGGACCCATCCCTCCGGAAGAGTTCTAGCATGATAAGTTAGTGCCTGATTAACTACCCCTCCCCTAAACTTTCACGGTGCTCCAGCCAAGCTGAGGTTCCTGCTTAGAGCACTGATACACTCCTTAAATGTGTGACTGTGTGTTCTCCTACACTATACCCAACATGAGAGCAGCTGGATTCCAACAGGCAATGCCTATGTTATATGATTCAGTGGGCCCAATCCACTGTCACTGATGTCAACGGACATTTTGCCCATTGACTTCAGTGGGAGCAGGATTGATCCCCAGAATGTTTCATTGGACATCAAGGGCCCAATTCATCCCTACACCAGAGCTTGGCACAGGGACCAATAGATGGAGGGAAAGGGGGCAGAGGTGGCTTCATGTCACCTGTGTGCCTCTTTTATCCTGAGTAAGCTGGGGAGGGGGACAGACCTATCTGGCACCAAGGGGCCATTTTGGCACCCAGGGATAGCTACAGCATGGGAATGTCCTAGCCACACTCCAACACATCTTTTGTGCCAGGGGCTCCTGCGGTGGAGTGGGGGAGGATGGCATAGAGCCAGTTTTACTGGCTTTGTGTCAATCAGGGATTTCTCCTGTGCTGGGATATTTCCCAGGGGCCAGATCCAGCTGGTTAACAGCCCTTTTGCCAGAGCTCATGGAAAATCCCACAGGAAGCATCTGAAAGAGAAAGATCTCCGTGAGGTTCTCCATGCAGTGTTTTCTCCCCGATTGTTTAGCCAGGGTGGGGTTCCCCTACTACAGAAGGCTACAAGGCTGGCCTGCAAACCCTGATGGGAAGGATTAATTCTCTTTAACTTTCAAAGTCCTGGGCTTCACTAGATCACTTGATGCAACGTGTTACCAGCACAGCTTTAAAGGTGATGCTCCCATGATCCTGGGGCATCAGGATGCGTGGCCACATCCTTTTCTCCGCGCTCATGCCCCCTAAGCCAGCAGCTGTGCAGTGTTGGAGCCACTATCATGGTGGTACATCACTCAAAATATCTTTTTATAAGGGTCTGAGGTGCTGAATTTAAGTCAGCTTTATGCCCGAGGCAATTGGAGGGAAAAGTTTTAATATCCTGGAGAATTTGAGACAATGTTTCTCAACAACAGAGCAAACCTTAAACTAAGCAAGTGACTCAAATTAAAAGGAAATTTTTCAAAAGTTTGAGCCTTATTCGTGTACTTAACAAACATGTATGGTCATGCACTCTGATTTGCACATATATTGCTGCAATCATGCATGCAGGCAGTTAAGTGCCCAAATAGCAATTTCCACAGATATTCACTTATTCATATATGGAACAGTAGGAAATGCACGTGGATGTGAAACACCAAGATCTTAATGGGTAGGGAGAATGAACTGTCCCTCACAGCTAAGTTAGACAACTGAGGGTTTGATCCCGTATTCCTTGCACACCCACAATGCTCAGTGACTTCAACTACCAACTTAGACAAGACCCAATCAGGGAATATTCCCCAGTGCCACCCAGAGCCCTCCTATTTCTGTGTTTATAAACCCAAAGAAAGTGCCCACTCGGAAACCCAAAGAAAGACATGCTAACTGAGGTTTGGGATACCCTCACGCTTACGACTGATGTTGTATTTTCTGATTTGGCTGGTTATGTACATCTTTCAGCCTGGTTTCAATTTACAGCTGCATAAAACTGGAGTAATGCAGCCGTGAATGAGGTTCTTAGGGCTTTGTTTCAATATAAACACACTGACTCGGTGCTCCTTGTGCGTAAGGTTTTGACAGTTACAGCAAGGTGGCATGAGTCTCTCCCCCTGGCTCTCAAACTGGGAGACAGCTGTATGATAACCCTATCAAATTTCTTCACCACCACACCACAGTTCAAGCCAGAGGGCCAAATTTTCCAGTAGTGCCAGTGGGTGCAATGCTACTAACATCACTGGTGATGTCCCTGCTTACAACAGCCCTGGATTTGGCCCATACTTCCAACCTCCAAAAATAAGGATAGTCACCTTCAGCAAAGCATACAAGCACACGCTTACATCCATTCCTGTTCATCAAAGGCTAAACTAACAGTCTGTGGCCTGGTTTTCCAAGGTGCTGGGCACTGGTGGATCTCCATGGCAGTTAACCAGATTGGCCTTCTTTCCCCCTCACACTAGTGCGCTATTTACACTTCACATGACACACTCTGAATGTCTGTTCTCAACACTCAGTGCACAGGGGAGTTGCATTTGTACCTCCCATCAATGCTAATGGCAGTTAGAAGCATAAATCCCACACATCAGTGAGAGAATAGACACCTACATCTCTAATCTTGATTCCCCAAATGTAACTTTACAATGTCTTTAATTATATGCTCTAACTGCCTAATGTGCCCCTTTCTATTAATTTCAAGAATAACAATAGTAGTGCTACACGGCATGATATGCGGTGATGTATTAAGCATGCTTGGAACAGAGGGTTATCTTATCTAAATTAAAGTGGAAATATATTCAGAATATAGCAATGTCATACTTTGACTGAAAATTGCAAGAAGCTCTTTAATTTGACCTGTGTGATCATAACAATGGTCTCAATAACAGGGCAAATGCTTTCACTTTAATCAGTTGATGTAGAGTGATTTTAACAATGATGCAATTTATATCAGGGGCAGGAGACAAGACTTGGGTTTATAAATGGTTATCTAGTTAGGTGACGAGGAAGGATGGATTTGTGGTTAGGACCCTAGAGGAGGACTCGGGAGACCTGGGTTCTATTCTCAGCTTTTCTACAGACTGCATGTGTGACCTTGGGCAAGTTACTTAATTCTCTGTGCCTCAGTTTCCGCTTTACTGCCTGAGGGGAAATTCATTCACATTTATGACCTGCTCAGATGATGCAGTGACAGGGGCTGTGTCAGCACCTCAACAGTGGCTTGGTGACCCAGACATCTGCAGCTGATAACCTCTGAGATTCACTGACTACAATATGAGCTTAATGCACATTTCAAGGTGAATGGTAGTAACATGTTCCTACTTAGATTCCTATCACAGCATCGGGAAGATCATCAATCTGCAGGCGGGCTAAAGATGACCGAGACGCATACCATATCTAAGTGTCTCTTGCATACTTAAATAGAAAACTTCAGGCTTTTAAACGAAAAGAAATTGACATTTATTTTCAATAGGAGACATGACTTTGACACCCTGGGAAATACTGTAAAGTCCTTGCGACTGCTGTCAAAATACAGTAATAAATTATTTTTTCTCTAACCCAAGCACAGCTTGCACTTAAGGAGCATCCTGGCTGAAATCTTTGTTTGATTTAAGACACCAGGTTGCTGAGGTTCCATCTTTCCTGGGCACTGAGAGTAGCTGCTCTCCTGTTTGACTCTGTGAAGCTACTGCACCACGAACAGGTAAACCTGCGGAAGGGAGGCACTTTGCCAGCTCGAAGATTTCACATGGATTCAAAATTAGCTACAATCTTTTTAAGAGAGCAGGACAAATCTTGCATTCCTTGCTCAGACCTTAAACAGAGAAAACTCCATTTAACTTGCATGGAGTTTTACCTGAGTAAAGACTGCTAAACTGTATCCATACTGTTTAATGTTGCTGAAACTGCTGGCTTTGTGCTTTAAAATGACATTCCTTGTGGTTGGCTAATCATCTCTGAGGACCCCACTACTTAATTCTGTGCACTTTTTCTTCACTGATACAAGTATCCCAGTGCTCGAGAAAGTTTGGCTTTTACATTAGTGAAGACATTGTACTTAATCACAGGGAGATCATCACCTTGCTTATCCCAGTAGCTCCGTTAGCTTCTTTGGGACTATTCACTTTAGCAAAGTGAGCAGGATTTGGTCTGTGTATAGCAAATAAATAAGAGAAAATCATCTTTTCTGGTTGGCCCCCTTTTAAAATAGCTATGAATAAGCAACCCCTTGCTCAACTTCTACACTGGAGCAGTCTCGCCGGAAAGCAGCCCACTATATTGATTGTCCAAATTCTATTAAAGAGACGTTTATTCTGTATTTAGACAACGGCCATTGTGGGTAGTTGGCTAACCTGTCGGTTTCCTTGTGATGCTGAATCAATCTGCAGCACGGCTCTCTGGAATGGTTTCGGGTCAAACTCCCTCTTTGCCCAGGCTCTGCTAGCATCTCTCACAGCGCCGCACTGGTGCACTGGCGGGGTGGGTCAAGGAGAGACAAACACTTCGCGCGGCAAAATCAAGGCGCGCACCGCAAGTTGTTAGCTTGTAAAAGATCAAAATGTTGCTTAAGGAGACCCCATGATATTTCGTAACACAAAAAGCCATTCCCCGCAGTCACATGCAGCTCCATAGCTTTGACCTTATTTCTTAGGCGCCATTTGGAACATAAAGTCATTGAAACATTACAAACCCTCATTTCACTGAGGAGCGTGTTTATAATTACGTAAGCGGGAACGCTGTTAGTCCGACTGCCTGGTTCTCGAAAGGCCGTGTCATTACATGAGCCATATCCTTTTACTGTCCTGAACTCCTCCTTTTTAAGTTACAGACTTTTATACCCTTTGATTGATTGCTGTCAGACTGTACCTTTCCTGAAAAAAAAGCTGAAGTACTGCGAGCAAGATTACAACATAATTTTGTGGAGTAGTAACAATCTCTTATTATATACACACCTACACAATGTGTATATAATAAAGTAGGTTTTGGAAACATCAGAATTTATCATTTACGATCAGTCCCATTATTGCAGTGTGGATGTCTCCATTTTTGCCCTTTAGGTGAGGTAGCCAATATGAATGCAAATAAGCTTGTATCTGAGCACTGTCTTGCATTCTATATTAGAGGAGAATTTTTAAACACATATTAAAGATACCACTCCCATCAGAAAACTATAAAGAGGGTGGGTCTGCACTTGCATATGCTGTATGTATAGACACACACACTTTTAATATCAGGGGGTAGCTGTGTTAGTCTGTATCCACAAAAACAACAAGGAGTCTGGTGGCACTTTAAAGACTAACAGATTTATTTGGGCATAAGCTTTCGTGGGTAAAAAACCCCACTTCTTCAGATGTATCTGAAGAAGTGGGTTTTTTAACCCAGGCAAGCTTAGGCCCAAAAAAATCTGTTAGTCTTTAAGGTCCCACGGGACACTTTTAATACATATTCATGAGAAAACCCTAGGGCTCACGCCTCTCTGTCTGGGTCCCTCAGATATAAGCAATGCCTATAGAGAGATAGCTGTCTCATCCCAGAGGAAGAGCAGGAGGAACCCATGGCAAGAGTTGCTGTGGTTACTTTTCCGAGTTTGGGACTGAAAGACAGGAGATGCTGTGATCCAGTTGCCCTTTGCCCGGCCCTGCGCTCGCCACTCGGCTGGCCAAAGGGCGAGTGGCTCCCGCTTAGTATTAGAGAATTCATTACAAGCCTCCCCCGCAGCCTTGGAGAGCTCGCAAAGCCGGAGAAGAGGCGGGGGAAGTTCTCCCAAGCAGCGGGCAGAGCGAGCCCTGGGGGCGGTCACCGCCCCGGCCAGGCAGGGGCTTCCCCCTCATGCCCCCTGCCCGAGCCGCCCTAAGGGGCCGCTGGGCTGTGCAATACAAAGGCACTTACCGGGCAAGCCGGGCCACAGGGCGGGGCTGGCTCCGGCGCTCGCCCCTGGCTTGAAACGCCGCCTCCCCGCTCGGCTCCTGCTCCTCAGCCTGCCCGCGGCGGCAGCCCCAGCTCCGGCAGGTGCCTCCAGTCGCTGCCGAGCGCATCCCCGACGCGCTTCGGAGCAGGAGGCGGGCAGCCCAGATGTGCCGCTCCCGGATTGGTCCAGAGGGAGCAGATGTTGGCCCGTTGCTATGAGAGTTGCTAGGAGGCGATGACGCTCTCGGCATCTCAGGAGCAACTTCAGTGGCGCTTTGAATTTCTTGCGGGGAGAGTGTAGTGGAGGGTGCCCTGAACCCCGGGGGGGGGGACCAAGAACCAGGGTTAGGGGTGCCCTGAGCCCCAGGGTTAGGGGGTGCATCGAGACCCACGGGGAGGGGTGCCCTGAGTCCCAGGGTTGGGATGCACCAAGACCCAGGGCTAGGGATGACCTGAGTCCCAGGGGAGGGGGTGCCCTGAGCCTGGAGCACTGAAAGGGGTGCACTGAGCTTAGGGCATGGAGGGAAGAGAGGGTGACTTGAGCCCTGGAGTTAGGGGGTGAGCCTGGGGCATGGAGGAGTAGGGGTACATTTAACCCCAGGGTTAGGGATGCACTGCTTCTGGGGCATGGAAGGGAAGGGAATGCACTAATTCCCAGGTTTAGGGGTGCATGGAGCATCAAGGATAGGAGGGAGGCTGTACTTAGGCCTGGATATCAGATGGGTAAGGGGTCACTGAACTTGGGAATGCACTGAGCCTGCAGACCATACACTGAGGTTTAGGGGTGAGCTAGGAAGGGGTCAGGTGAGGAGTGCATTGAGCCTGGTGGTTTGGCTAAGGTCACTATTCCTCAGTGGTGCAGACCATGCCACCGCGATCCAGGCCTGTGCAATAATTTAGCCTTGATCCAAAATGGTTCTCTACTTGTTGGGATCACTGAAAATAACTCAGACTTTTCAGCCAGGCCAGAGCACAGAAGCCTGTCTTTTCAATGCAGCGAGCCACAGTGGGTGTATAACTCCAGCTGCACCCTACACACTGCCTGCCTGTACAGCCCCTTTAGCAATTCTAGAAACCGGGGATCTATAATGCCCTATATGGTCTGCAATCTAGTTGCTTGAGATCATCACTCTCTTTTTTCCTCCTTTTCCACGGTTATGGGTCCCCCCAGATTTTGGCTCCGGGCTGTAATTGCTGCATAGCTGGCAGCAGGATAGTCTCCACAAAGGACCCATGTCTTTGAAGCCCTCTCCCTGCCATCATCAGACAGATTGAAGGAATGATTCTCCACTCACTTACACAGGCGTAAGTGTTCACTTCAGCAGAGTTACGCCTGCTTTACAGTGAAGACAATGAGAGGAGAATCACACCCCGAGTTCCATAAATCGAGGGTTAACGAGCTAAATTTCAGCTGCTGTAGATCAGGTTTTTCCAAGTCCATAGGGCTATGCAGATTTAAGCTCGCTAAGGATCTGGCTCCGTTTGTTTCTGTGCACAAACACACACATTTTTCTTGCATATTTGGCTTTAATAAAATCAGACACGACCATATACTTATTTAAAATTACTTCCAAAAGTGCCAGTTCCTCTATTGAATTCACACTAATTTTGAATCTCAATATTCTATGACAATATGAAAGAGCTGGGATTTAATTGATTTAAATTACCTTTCTTTTTATAGTGCTGCCGGTAGCAATGCCATAGTTCAGGTCGGTATAATTTTAAAATCTACCATGTGACACAGCTATGACATTCCCTCCCCCCCTCCCCCACATACTCTACATGCCACTGAATAGAGGAATCCATTAGCAAAATACAATAATTCTTGAGCACTTTACAAAGACGTGATAATTAATTCAATAATAAAGTGTCTGTATAAGGGAGATAGAAAGAGAAGGCACAGAAACCCCATCTTTACATCTGTTTAAGAACTGAATGAAGTGCAGAGCTAGTCAGTGACAGCCGCTGTTCTGGAAATTGATTGCAATTTTTATTTTTATTTTTTACATTTGATACAATTTCTGCCACAGATACATCTTCCCCTTTTCAGCTTCATAATGTTCAGCATACAGCCAGGAATCACTGTCGAGCTGTAATTTCCAGCTGAAAGGGCCAGCCCTTCTTCCTTTGTCTGGCCCCAAGAGCCATTTTCATCCCCCGATCAGCATGAAAGAAGGTGTTGTTAAACACACATCTAGTATTTGCATTGCTTTTCTTGCCCCATTGTCTGAAGACTTTGGGGATGGGAGGGGCCAGATCCTTAGCTGGCATAAATCAGCATAGCTCCATGGAAGGAAAGGGCTTTACACTAGCTGAGGATCTGGCCCCTCATTTGAAGCAGACCTGATTCTGGACCAGAAAGTATGGGAGGCTTCTGATATCTGGGCAGTGATGGGACAGCTACAGGAAGCTCATTGCAGTTACCTATTTCAGGGTTGCCTGGGCTTAGCATCTGGTCACCTCCTGCTCTAATTTACGAGGCTGGTGCAAGGCTACTTTCACCAGTGACGGCTCCGGCATGGCAGAGCTCCCATCCCTGACATTCCAGGGGTGGAAGTCAGGGATGTAGGAGGGAGCTCTGTCCCTTCACAAGCAATATACCAGTGGAGATTCCCCTTTACAGAAGAATTCTCTGCTGGTGATTTCTGGCCAGTTTAAGGCCAGGTAGCACTGCTTAGCAGCACAAAGAGCAGTTACTAGAATAGAGAATCTGGACCGACATCTCTGCTGACACTAATATTTGAAAAATATAAGACCTAAAAGTTGGTACTGCACAGAATAAAACACCTAGACAGACCAATGGTAGATGCCTAGCTCTTTCCCTACAGCACGTGTTTGGTGACTCTTCTGAAAACTAGGCTAGGGTAACTGGGATAATACAGGTTTCAGAGTAGCATCCGTGTTACCAATTAATTGTTTAGAGGGACTGTGATTATACAAAATCAGATGATTATTTTATATTTTATGATAACAGCTTCTGACTTTGAAAGCGACAATTCCCAAATTTGCAGCCAGTCTTTTCTACCCAGATCTATTGCTTAGGGACACAGAATTAAGTTAATATATATAGCATCCAATTTGCTAAATGGATGCACACTGATTGCATGTACAAAAGCATCAATGCATCCATGCAAACCAAACCTAGGCGTCTGCAGTATTTGTAAAAACAGACAGGTAGGACTGCTTACAGAGAGATGCATACATGGTATACCTGTGCATAGGCAAGGCTGCATCCTTAGCTGGGTGAATCAGTGCCATGCTAGGAACCTCAGCAGAACTGCTGCTACATACTCTAGTAGAAGAATTGGTCTGAATTGTTTTGGAGGCTTACCTTGCCTGTATTGAAAAACTAGCCCCTATATTTCTCCAGGTATTATATATTTATTATATATTTCCTCTTCCACATCTGAAAACTTCAGTCCTCTGTCTTTGTAACATTTTTAAAGCAGAGGAGCTGGATTATTTTTATGCTGTAGTTATATATATTTCACTTTTGATGGTGATTTCTGGAACATTTCTGCAGTTTTTATTTACTTTTATGTGTATTAAAACTAATCTTTCAAAACCACACTGCAGATTATTTTAGGAACATTTTTTTTTTAAATTTCCATGAAAAAAAATATCCCATTTTTGTTGAAATTCTACATTTTGATGAAAAATTTGAGCAAAAAATTAAAATACTTTGAAAAATTCACACACACACCCGTAAAAATAGTAAAATATAACAAAACTCTCATTGGGGGTCTTGGGAGAGCAAGATTTTCACGTAAACCGTAGGGCAGTCTCCGTGAAACCGCATATACTCTGCTGAGTCCAATTGCTCAGTTGGATTTGCTGAGCTCCAGCAGCTCCCCATTGAATTCAGTGGTATTCTTCCTGATTTCTACCAGTGTAAATGACAACAGAAAGCAAAGCCAAAGATTTATTTCCACAGTCACAGCGACAGTCAGGGATACACTTTCAAGAATGTAAGACTGTGTTGCGTGCCAAAAGCAAGTACTTTAGCGGTGGTGAAGACACACTTAGCAGTCTTGGAAAATGCAGCCCCCCATTGCAGCAATACAGTGAGTTTGAATAATGAGAAGATCCTTGCATGGATATTGGGGGGCTTCTGAACAACAAAGGCAGGTATGTCAGTTGTTCCCCCTAAAACCCAATTTTATTTGTGTAACTACTATTAGCCCCCATCATCTGATTTACAAACTGTACCATAGAATGTCTATGGATAGAAATTCCATGCTTGAATAATGAGTATAGCAGTAGGACTATACTAGCTGCCTGGGATGGTGACAGTGACGGTGAAAGGCTCAGGGAGATTAGAAAGCCCAGTAATAATGGGAGATTTCAACTATCCCCATATTGACTGGGGAACATGTCATGTCAGGATGGGATGCGGAGATAAAATTTCTAGACACCATTAATGACTGTTTCTTGGAGGCAATTCTTGATTTAGTCCTAAGTGAAGCACAGGATCTGGTCCAAGAGGTGAATACAGCTGAACCACTCAACCATAATGTAATTACATTTAAGATCCTTCAGAGGGGAAAAGGGGGGGGGGGGGGGAGAGAGAAATACCAAACAAACCCACCACAGTAGCATTTAACTTTGAAAAGGGGAACTACACAAAAATGAGGAAGCGAGTTACACAGAAATTAAAAGGAACAGTCACAAGAGTGACAGGTTTCAGAGTGGTAGCCGTGTTAGTCTGTATCAGCAAAAACAATGAGGAGTCCTTGTGGCACCTTAGAGACTAACAAATGTATCTGGGCATAAGTTTTCGTGGGCTAGAACCCACTTCATCAGCTGCATGAATACTGCTCCTGTATTTTCCACTCCATGCATCATAAAAGAAGCTTAAACTACACGTATACCCCAAATAAATAACAAAATAAGAGAACCAAAAAAAAAAAAAGCCACCGTGGCTAAACAACAGAGTAAAACAGCAGTTAGAGATAAAAAGCCATCCTTTAAAAATTGGAAGTCGACTCCTACTAAGGAACATACATAGAAGCATAAACTCTGGCAAATCAAGTGTAAAAGTATAATTAGGCCGGCCAAAAAAGAATTTTAAGAGCAACTAGCAAAAGAAAAAAAAACTAACAGCAAATTTTCGTTAAGTACATCAGTTGCAGGACGTCTACCAAACAATCAGTGGGGTC